TCTAGCGTCTAAAACTATTTTTAGTTATTCGCCTTTTGCTAGAATGATAACAGGGTTGATAAAAGTGTTACCTTTTGGTTGTTCTTCCTTATTTACTGGTGAATCAATTTTGTATTGTTCTAAGATGTCAAGTATTCTATTTACTTTGTCGTGTAAGTGAATTGGTACTTTCTGGCTCTTTGTTTTTTGAAAACTGCGTCGGGTTTTAACGGGAGATGTAGTGATGAACTGATTTTTCCAACGTCAAATTTTGATGTTGCGTAAACTGTTGAATATTTTAACAGTTGCTTTGCTAATTTATCAAATTCGATTTGTGTAGTTTGTGATGTTCAAAATTAAACACTGTTAAAAATTTTTGTTGTTTTTTTGTGTAATTTGTTATATTGAATGTTGGTTTAAAATATGGTGTTTTTGTGAAGTAATCTGTGTTTATCTTTTCATTACTTACTATGTTATTTATGGACAATTCTTCGTCAAGAATTGTGGATTGACAAATATCTAATAATTGGAGTATATTATTAACGCGTTAGGCTACTTCATGTATGGGTGAGATTGTAGCGCTTGTTTCACAATATCCTAAAAGTCCTAAGGGTAATGTTACTTGATATGGTGTATTGTTATACACGTGTAACGAAATGATGTCGGAACTAGTGTTTTTCAAATATTTAATAGATGAGATCGTGATTTTGAAAAATTTATGAATAGGTTTAAATTCAAAGTCTGACATAAAAAGTTTTTGTTTATTTTGACTTTTATCATACTGGTGAACTTGTTTTATTGAAGAATTATATATATTTCCTGATAGTGGTTTCAGGTGTTTCCGTTGTTGGTTATAAATTTAAAATTTTAAAATTTTGTTTTGCTCCATTGTTCTCGTGGGGAGAAGGAATAATTGGATTTTTCCATAATTTACTAATGTTGATCCTTGTGCTGTTGCTAGTTTACTGGAGGTTTCAAGAGGCCTTAATTTTGGATGTAATGTTTTGATTTCATTCCATGTGGGAATATTAATTATATTTGATTGTGCTCCTGAATCAACTAAAAAATCAATTTCAAGATCTGGTGGTTGAAATTCTTTGTTTCTTGGACTTTCTAAGAGAAATGGTATTGTCTAAATTTTTTAATTTTTTCTCTGGGTTGTTCTTTCTGTATATTTTGATAAATATGATTGGTGTTTGAGCATTGTGTTTTACCTTTTTCATCGGGTTTAATTACCGTGTTTATTTCGTTTACTTCTTGTGTAGTTTGTGTAGTATCGGTGGGTTCAATATAGTAATTGTGAAGGAGTTCCAATTGATTTTCATATATATGTGATGTAAAAGGTTGTTCATAGGCTCATAGTCGTTTTCGACTGTTATCATATTTACTGAGATAGTATTTTCTGTATCGCTCTCTGTATCTGATGATTCACAATGTATATGATTTAGTTGTATTTCGTGATTTTCTGCGTCATCAATACCTGGAGGGTCTGAAGTTGTTACTTCATTTGTTTGCACTTGATTACTGTGTCTTTGATGTTTTGGTGTACTACTTCTGTATCGATGTCTAGAGTCAGGGTAACGGTTATTATTCCTATGTGGTGACTTGAGTTATATGGTGATTGATTCCTTGTGTAATTGGTGTCGTTCGGAAGTGGTTTTCCTGAACGGTTATTACAATATAAATTTTTGTTCGGTAGGCTTTGATCTTTTTTCATGTATTGATAGAACAATTTACTTGGTTCTTTATGCTTTTGAGGTTTATTCTGATTGTCTTGTTGTCTTTGTCTTCATTCGGAGATGCTGTGTCCGTATCGTCGGCAATAATTACACCATTTTTTGAAAGATGGTTTGCCTTTAAAATTTGGATGTTTTTCATAGATATTCAGTATTTCAGTGATTTTTTCAATTAAGTCTGTATCTGATTCCTGTATGTTATTTATATGTGTAGTGTTTGTTTCGATTCGATTAACATATTGTAGTTTTAGATTTTCTGTTTCTTTGAGTTTCATTGTGATTTCTGCTTGTTTTAGTTTATCTACTAATTTTCGAAAATCTAAATCTGGTTCTCGAATTGAAGAAGGATGAGATGCTCTCTTTTTTATTGCTATTTTTCTTAATTGAGGTGTTATGGTCATCATTAGATTATAGTTTATATTATTGCAAAGACTTTGTTAGTGACTATGGAGTTTGCTCTTTGTGAATTATGATATTGTATGCTTTTGATATATTCTAGGAATACTTTTGAAAATTCTAAATCAATGTCGTCTCTTTGAATTACATATTTGCGATGGGCTGTATTGGGTGTGCTGAATTCTATGGTGTAGATTCCATATTGTTGTGTTAGATTTCATGTGTCTTTCAAACAATGTTCAATAGTTTGTCTTTTGATTTTCACATCTGGGAATTCTGCTTTGCATGGACTCATTCTGGGTTCAAACAAATTTGCGAGTAAGTTCTTGCAAAAATCATGTTGACCTCTATCATCGGGTGAATCTATAAGAAAGGGATAAAACTGCTTCGTCATCTGGACTATCGTCACTTTGAGTGTGGCTCATTTTTTCGTTTGATGACTGTTAATATATAGCTATCGATGTGTCTAATTGGTTGATTCCAACTATACAAGTGTACTGGTTTGTGTTTCTATTGCTTTTTTGTTCTTCTTTTTCCTCTTTTTGATGAATTTGAAGTTGTTCCTGAGTCGGAAAAATATAATTGATCGTGGATGGGACAATTTTTATCAATTGTTTCGTTTAATTTGTAGAGTTCATCTAAACTACTGGCTTCTGATTCAGAAAATGCGTTTCTATTTTTTGAATATATTTTTCGTGTGATTTGTCTTTGTTTGTTTATAATTTTTCTTTTTTTTGTTTGTCGTTTTGTTCTAATGTATCCAACTGTTTGAGTATGAGGTGTGATTACAAGATCGAATTTTTTGTTATCTATTTCACAGTTGTGTAAAACGATTGTTTGTTTATTTCCTAAATTTTTGAATGACATAAGGTTTAGGATGAGGGATGCAAGAAGTTGTTAGTTATTTCTATTTCCTTAGACTGTTAGTCCTTACGATTTTTTGGTTAGCTTAACGTGGGTCTTTTTGTTCAGAGTTGGAGAGAAAAGTATATCGACTCCGGAGAATGATTTTTTACTTTCTCGTGGCTAGTCTAAGCTACGGTGTTAACTTACTTAATCTTACTTAGGGGTAGTGATTGTGTTCAAGGGTTGGAGAATAGTAAATCGATCCACAAGGTTCAGGTATAATTAGAACGCAAGTAGTTCGTTAGATACTATTTTAAACTTACTAAGTCGAAGATCTATCCTGGGTCTGGTAAGAGGAGGGTTCAAGTGAAGGATGAATAACCGAAGTTCTTCACTGTTTATCTTCATTTGAATGGGTAGTTTTATTGAAAAATTTCTATTAGTCCTGGGTCTTTTGAAAGGGTTGGATAGTGAATCGACGTTTGAGGTCGTTAGACACTTGCTAAGTGGGTGGGGGAGAACAAAATTGTTCTTTTGATCCAAGGATAGGCCTTGATGATCAGGTTTTAAATTTAGTGAGATAGAAAATTTATTAAGATCCGAGGATAAGCCTTGATGATCTGATTTTAAAAATTAAGTGAATTTAAGTTTGAAATGATTTAAATTTATTGAATGAAAAGATTTAGTTCTTCAATGATATTAGTGAGCTTATGAATGCTGTTATGTTTAGATGATGAAGCTGGAACAACAGGATGATTTATGATTACTAACAATTTATTGTCATGCTACTAATTTTTATTTTTATTTTTAATAAATATTTTTCAAATATGTTTTATATAGTACTGCAGAAATTAAGAAAACGATCTGAGATCTTTTTATCAATCGTTATTGTACATTAATAGTTTTGTTAGCGCCTGAATTGATCATGAAGGTTTACTTCAAAATTTTATGTTTGCAAATGAAAATCTAAATTCATTGCTAATAAGATTCTAAATACAAAAGTTTGTGTTGGCTTTTGCCTTACAATCATAAAACTAAATGGTAAGTTTCTACTTTGTCGTATGTCATCTCTTGTCCGAGGTCTTCTTCCAATTTCGGGTAGTTCTATTATCGTTCGAAATATGGGCTCTGATCTATTGAGTCGGAGAGACATTTCAATTAAATTTTTATCGTATAACATTTTGAAAATGTTTTGTCTAATTTCTAATCTATTTTTGGTTATTTCTAAGCTATTAAGGTCTTATTCGAGACTTATGGTCGCACCAGATGAGTTATAATCGAAGTGGTTAACTCGTAGAGTAATTTCGGATAAGGTACACCGTCTGCTCGTCACGCTATTTTATTTTCGGCCGGATAGATTCGTGCAACTTCTTAGTCTAATACCGATCCTAATCTTACTCTTATACTTACTAGTCTCAGGGTGTTTAACTAGTCTCTGCTAGGCTCAATAGATCTAGGGTATACTGGTTTATTGCGGCTGCTGAAGTTTTCTTGGAGAGGCAACTAATTTCTAAGTTAAATTCAAATCTCTCTGGTGCTGAAATTACAAGTAATTTCAGCACTTACAAATAAGTGGGTTGTTAATTAGATGGATTATGATTGGTTAATATTAAATATTTTACCGTGGTAAAATATCCAATTTCTCCAATTATAAAATATAGTTTAGATCAGGTTCCATTATTCTTTTCGATAGTTATTGGTAGCTAAAAAACTATATTTCATTCAGTTCCTTTTTTTGCCATCAGATAACTTCCAGATTTCTGGATACAGCTATGATTTATTATTTTGTTCCATTTTGTGTTTTGACCATTCTCAAAAACGGATAAGAAAGAAACAAACTTTTTGAAAGTTGATTGGTTTTCGAAAGAAGAAAGAAAGAATTTATTTCTCATTGTTAATGGTAAATATGCAAGTAACGAGAATTCAAACATGAAGCAACAGAAACAGTGAGGGGATAGTTAACGAGCCCAGTTGGGTTACAGAGCACAGCCCGTTGGTAGTTCGTTTTTGGTAGTGTGTTTGTTGTTCAATTATGTTTTGCAGCCTGGAGCGACAAAAGATATCGCAGAGCATCCCGAGAATTCAACTCGCAACAGGTGGTCTAATGTGGTCTCATACGATCATAGTCAATTCATGCTTGACGAGGACTGTGCTGGACCCCTTCCACGTGACAAAGAGCCGCCCACGTACATTAACGCCAGCTGGATCCCGGGCGAGAATGACGAAAAAGAATATATTGCCACCCAAGTACGCAATCAAAAAACTATTTAACTTAAATAAAAAACAAATAGTAAGCAGGGTATGCTTTGCAAGTAGCACAGACAGAATGTTCCGACCCTTTTTAATTTTTTTTTCAAATTAGTGTCTTTTCTTGGGTATCATGTGAACTAAAGTTATACAAAATAAGCATAAACGGCTACAATTGTCTTCAAAAAATAAATAGGAAATTTTTTTAATCATTAAGAGGCCAAACTGTGCACTGGATAGGCGCACACTTTTGAGTCTGTATGTCCTGTGTTCCAGAGACACGTATGTTAAGATTTTGACAGAACGATCAAAGAAAATGAAAGAACAAAAGAAAAACAAAGGGAGCGTTCTTGTTGCGGAATCCGTTTACAACTCACGAAATGCACAATTTAACCTCGTAGTGATTTTTTTTCAATTTTGTGCCCTAAAAATTTTAAATAATTTCTGAAATGAAGCTTCCAAAATGATTTTCTTTTTAGAAAATCAAGTTTTTTTGACTAAACTGCTAATTTTTATATATAACTAATGTTTTTCGATCGCTTTACTCGCATTGGACTCTAACTCAAAAACTTTAAACCAGTTTTTCTCAACAATGGGACTGATAGAGTATTTCTAATCACTGCTAAAAGGGTTTCAATATGATACATCACTCGATCCATTCCGATTGTTAGCCGTGGTGCCTGATTTTGCGTGGGAAACAAAAAAGTTTTCAAAAAATTTAAAAAAACTAAAACACAATTTTAGAATAATTCCTTTTCAAAGTTACTCCTCTTTCAGTGGTCAGAACAAAAGCGAATCTGAAAAAGCAATAAATTGAACAACTAAGGTCAAAAACATTAATAAAAAAGGGTGATGTAAGAACCTTGCAAGGCATGCTTAGGTTAGATTCGATTTTAGCTGACCCAAAGGCACAATTTTATGACAGAGGGAGGAGTGCAAGCCGAAAAACGCAAAAATTTTGTCCAAACTTTCCGAAAAGTGTCCAAAAACGATGTTTTGGTTTTTTTTCAAAAACGTGCCTGCGACATAGAAAAATTGCGCAAAATAGGTTTTGTTTGATAGTGATTTGAAAAAACTCAAAAATTTAGTTTGATGCACCTTTGAAAAACAATTTTTTCAAACCCCTTTTTAGTTAAATCTTTTTTGTACACATTTCATAGCACGTGTCAAAACATAGTTGACCTAAAATTATCACATTTTGACTGAAGAGTACCTATCAGTGTCAACAGTCTGCCATTACTTTGGTCTTAAGCTGAAAACAAAATTGGAGAGAGAGAGAGAGCAATATTTGAAACGAGCACTGCAAATTTTGAGAAAAATTTGCTGGCTTATTTGAAAAATTTAGGTCTTGGGCATAATAATCAGCTAAAAAATAAGCTTTTGCATTAAGAATTCGTCTTTCTTCTTTTTCTGTCCTCAATCATTTATTTCTAGTTTTTAAGTGTCAATGAACGAACTTCAGTATTTTTTATAGGTTTAATTGTTTATTTTTTTCTCCAACTATTTTCTCCCAACTAGTTAGTTCACTATCATGTTTTTTCACGAAAAGATTGAAAGACAACACGCACAAAAACAAAATTTTTTTAAAACCAATTGACTTATTCTTTTCATTTGAATTCAAGTTGATGTGCTTAAAGGAAAACAATTTACGCATTCCAATGACCAAATTGAAATTAGTTCGAACACCATGATTAATTTTATTTGGAAATTTTGTTAAAACATACACTTTTCAGAGATAAAACTTAATCTAACTAAAGATTAGGGATCAATAAACGCAGAGAAGACTCCTTCATAGATCTTGATGATTTTTTTTTGTTTTTTTTTCCCAACTTTTTTTTCATTTTTGTAAATTTTTTTACGCATAAATTCAATTTTTCACGGAATTACATTAGTTTTTTACAAGCCTCGGATCATTTTGTTTTCGTTAAGAGGAAAACAAAAAATTGAGAAACAAGTCGCACCAAAACAGAAGCTTTTTAAGCGACTTGATTTATTGTTTCCAATTGAATTCAAGTTGAAGCATTTAAAAGAAAACAGTTTACGTTTTTCAATGACCAAAGAGAAATTGGTTCGAACAGCATGTATAATTTTTTCGGAAAATTGAATTAAAACATAGATTTTTCAGAGATTATATTCAACTTAACGTATGATTCAGAATCAATGAACGCACTGAAGACACCTACTTAGATCTTGATGATTTTGTTTGTTTTCTCCAGTAAAAAATTTCAAATTTAATTATGCTTAAATTATTTTTTTTTGCGGGTTGAAATATGTTTTTTTTTAATATAAAACACTGATCATTTTGTTTTTATTTAAAGCAAAACAAAACCTACCTTAGAGTAGAAAAGTTGAAAAGCTCCCAAAAATGTGATAGACTTCTAAATTCGAAAGTTAAATTTATGTTTCAGATTTCTCAGCGGAACAAAAAAAAATATCGATTGATCCAGTTTTCTCAAAGTGGGTAAACTTTTATCAACAAAATAGTCGTTCTTAAATTGTTTTTGAAATCCACAGTTCTTTAAAACCTTTTTATATTTTTTGAAATTTAAAATCTGTAGTTATTTCATAAGAAAACAATATTTTGTTGCTTCCTGGCGTTCATTGACTCTTTCCAACTGCTTGTTGTCCATGTTTCATTTTTCAAATTGAGTTGTTTTTATCAAAAAGATGTTTTTCATGAAATTTGCTGGATTTCTAAAGACCTTCAATATGATACTAGAATTTTTGTTTACAATCAGAAAATAAATGAAGTCAGTCAAAACTGTCATTTTGTAGCCTCCTTCAGTTTCTCGACTTTTTTTTGACCTTTTAATTGACAATTTTATTGTATTATCAGACTTCAGAGCAAAATAATTTTACTCTCCTTTGGAACCTTAAATTATTTTGCCACTATTGGGTTAATTTTATCGCAAGAATATTGATCATAAAAGCTCTTACGTTAAAAAATTTTCGGAAAATTTGGAATTAAAAACATCCTTTATTCGTTTTGTTTTGGTTACCTCGAGTTCACTGACACTTCTACTGACATAAAGTTGACCTATCGGCCAATAAATTTTGACCTATCATCCAGATCCTTGTATAACTGCTAGCTATAATGAAATTGATGTTTGTGGAAGATGGAAAAGAGGTGTCATTGCTTCCTTAATCCAGATGGGCGCGCCCAAATGCGCACTCATTTAAAAGGTACTATATTATTCCAATGTTGTAGGGTCCGAAGAAAGGATACATTTTGGACTTTTGGACAATGGTATGGCAGACTAAGTCCAGAACGATTATAATGCTCACCAATCTTCGAGAACCTTCTCCAGGTGACAGGGAGGGGGGCAAGATGATGGAAAAGTGCGCCAGGTACTGGCCAGACAAACGCCGCCACCACACCACACTAAAACTCACTCCAAACTTCAAAGTGAGTTCAGTTCGTCTTATTTTGACATCGTCTATCTGAAAAACCAGATTATAATGCTCACCAATCTGCTATTTTGTTTTGTTTCTGAACCAATGATGGGGGAGTGCCTCAAAAAATAGCTGTTAAGTTGTCCTTTTAGTTTTTAGTTTTTAATCTATCTTTTTTTTTCAGTTAGTTATGATATCATTTAATTTAACTTTTAATGTCGGCTTGTCGTTCATTCGAACCAATGCTGTGGTGAAGTGATTAAGTTCCCGCCTCTACAACTAAGGATTGGATGTTCGAGGCCGACCACCATCCATGCTCGTTGCTTGAGGGCGAAGCAACAGTACTCAGAACAAAATAATTCCAAGAAATAGCATGTAATTCTTAACCAGGGGCACAACAGCGGTTCACCGTGAGAAACTGAAAAGATCGTGTGTTTGTCCACTCCCCTGTGGAGAAGTCGTTTAACGATGATATTTATGATTTTCTTCACTAAACTACATTAAATTTAAAATGTCAATGAGCGTAGTGAAAAGTGAATATATAAATCATAGAAATTACAGAGAGAATAAAATTAGTTTGAAGGTTTCGAACTTTCAGACAACTTTCCAATCCTTTTAAAAAGTGACATAATTTGAATCCATCGGTCACAATTTGAATCAGTCCTACCACAAAATGTTAACAAGGATAACCAGATACTGTGCAAGTAGTTCAGAAAGTTGCGACAATAGTTTTAAATAAATACAACGAATTTTTTTTAATTAATGTATTTTTTGGTCGTGGTCGTTCGAATCACTACCAAATGAGCTTTAAATTGATATATAACTCAACTCTCTCCAATATTTATTTGTGTTTTTTTTTCAAATTTATGTAGCTGTTTCTGCATAATGTGATACAAAAATCTGAATATTCGACAGTCATAGTAATTTGGGCAAACAGAACAAAATTTTTTGAAGCGAAAAGGCTAGAAAAACAACAAAAAAAATCATTAAAAAAATTCAAAATTTTTTTTTCAAATTTTTTTTGCAGAAAAAGGCATTTTCTCAAAAATGGCATTAAAAATCTCCAAAAACTAATTCACATGAGTAAAATTAAAATTAAGTTTAAATAAGCTATCATAAACGGCCTAAACTAAGCATAAATAAGCGTGCCCGCTCGCTTTAATTGCTGGAATTTAGACGAAAAATCAAAATGTTTCAAATGTTAAAAGTTTCGTTCGAATCACGATTGAAAGGGCTTTCATATGATATATCCGTCAACCAAGTCCGATGATTATTTGTGGTACCTAATTTTGGGCAGAAAACGAAAAAAAAATAAAAAATCTAAAACACCAGAATACAAAGTTACTCCCCATTTTCAATGGTCAGAACAAATAAAACTAAAACAAACCCGAATACAAAATTCCTCTCCAATTTTCAAATGGTCGGAACAATAATTAGAGATTCTGAAAAATCAAAAGGCTTAAAAACCGTTTCTTTCAAAACTCTTCTTTCTGGAATGGTTTTATACCAATTGGTTGTCTTATTTTTCATGTTTGTTTGATTTCATAGATGATACTAAATAAAGACAAAAACAATTTTATCGTCTATTTTGATTTACAAAAACTGAGAAATAGGTTGTAAAATATTAGTTGATGAGCAGGTGGAGAATCAGGGAGAGGAGAATTTGGGAACTTGTGGCGTCATCAGAAGCCTCAAAGTCACGCAAATGGGTTAGCCAAAGTTTAACTGATTCTGTCTTTTCAAATACTTACAAAAATTATTAACCTGAAAATGCGTGATCCAATTTTTCACTATTTTCGGCACCTAGAAAACGTTTCAAAAATGTAGCCTTAGGAGTACTGTTTTCTGACACGTTAAGTTGCTCAAGGTTATCGATAATGTAAGCAGTTTGATATTAACCGTAACTTATCATTCATTTTGTCTAGAAGAAGAGCTTTTGGTGAAGCAATTCCACTTCACTGTGTGGCCCGATCATGGGGTGCCTAAAAACTTCGACGAGTGTGTTCTCTTTCTCAAGGCCACTCGTGAACACGCACACAAGGTCAGATAATATTTTTTTTTCGGGAAAAGGTCTGTCTTAAAATTTGTTCATTGTGAGATTTGACTTTTGGTGCCTTAAGATCAATGAAAATAGTGAACACACCTATTAAGTGTAAGCGAACGAAGTTATTGATTGTCACTTGTCAAATGTCGATGAACGTAGTTCAGATTCTCTTTTAGGTCGTAATGTTTTTTTTTCGTTTTTTACAGGAAAAGACTTAAAATTTGTTTGTGCTCAAACTTGATTTTTTGCGGTTTTACTTTTTTAAATCTTTTTAAAATCAGTTCATTTTCTTTGTTAAAAGGAAGGCAAACTCCGCTATCAAACAGCGAAAAAGTTAGGCTTCAGATTTCTCAGCAAAACAAAAATTTTACATATTGATCCAGGTTTCTCGTTTGGGTTAATTTTATTAAGAGTGATGAACGTAGTTAAGACTCTTATATAGGTCTGGCTGATTTTTTTTTCAGGAAAAGTCTTAAAATGCCCTAATAACTACAGAGGTGCATTCATACATACTGATTCATTTATGAATGCACTTAGATATAATTGCACTTTTTGAGTTCAGTTGAAAATCATCTGCTGAAAGTGACCTAAATAAGACTCTCCAAATACGAACGTGGAAATGGCGCGAAAAAACGTGAACGATTTCTAGTTTCGAAAGCCGAATTTAATTTTTAGAGTTCCAGCGGAAAAAAAACTTTACCTGTCGATCCAGCTTTTTTCAAATTGGGTTAATAATATCAAAAATGCGCCAATCATAAACTGTTCTAGAAATTTAAAGAGCTAAAAGGGCGTCTATTTTTTTCTTTGAAGTTCGAAAGTTGAGATTTTTTTCAACAAAGTCAGTAATTTTTTTCCGTTTACTTCGTTCATTACTTTTTTTCCAATCTTTAATTGGCTCTGTTCAAAAAAGTTCCAATCATAAATTGTCCTAAAAATTTAACAAAAAATTAAGGCCATCTTTTTTCGTTGAAAATCGAAAGTTTCAACAACAGCCGGATTTTTTTCTATTTACTTGCGTTCATTGATTCTTTTTTTTATTCTTCTTCTTCGTTCATTGATTCAATTTATAGGTTTGGAGTTTAATTTTAGATTATAGGTAAAAATATATATATTAAAAAAAAACTGCTCAGAGGAATTATTTGGTTCATGTTCATGGCTTCCGGAAACACAACATAAAAGAAATAAACAAAACAATGTAAACAAAAAGCTGTTTAAAAGTGTGAGATGAAGTCCAAATGATTTCAAAATAAAAATGTAAAATGTGCTTTTCAAGTTTTCATTTAAAATACTTTTAGCTTTTTTTTTAAGTTTCATCCAAAAGGGTTGTTGAAATTTAGAGCATTTGTACAAATTTATTTTTTAACTTCATATGAAAAAAATAATATTTCATTATTGAACAAGCATTGGGAGAAAAGGCAAAAATCTAAAGCTTTTTGCAGCAATTTGAGCAATTAATTTACTAAAACGAATAAAACGAATGAACGTGATAATGATTTAAGATTGGAATGTCTCTGCTTTCTTTTTAAATCAACCTTTACTCTTGAGTTGTCAGTTTTGTAAGGCCAACTACGGTCCTAAAGATTCATAGTGCAAATGGCTAAACGAAAAAGCGCGGCTCACTCTATATTTTAAAATAACGTGTTTTCAAGAATGTCCTACTGAAATGAAAATGTTAATTTTGACCCAATTTTCTCAAGTTGAGTAATTTAATTTAACAAATGAAATGTTGAAAAACTCGAAACTTGATTTTTTTCGCTTTCTGTTATCAACTTCAAATTGAATTCTGAATCGCCAACTGTGTTAAAATATCAACCTTTCTTCTATGAAACTGCTTCAAAATAGTTAGTTTTTTTTTAGTTTTATGAATTCAATGACATTTTTTCAACTGTCTGCTGACTTTCTTCGCAGGGTTTGTTTTCTTTTTATATGTTTCAGTTACAAAAAGACAGCTCTTGGGGAGTTTAAGAGTGGTGTCAAATATATCTAATAATCTTAATTTATATAAAAAATTAAACTAGGAAATTTTGATTCAAAAAGTTGCGTAACAAAAAAAAATAGAGTGAGCGTAACAAAAAAATTAGTGTGAGCGTAACAAAAAAAATTGAAGTAACAAAATAGCGTTACAAAAAAATTAATTTGCCCAAAAGAGCTGGCCCGGGTCGCGGTTGTAGTCTTATGATTAGACATTCGAGTTCGAATTTTTGTATTTCCACACTGCCTCGACCAAAAATACGTATTTTTAGACTGTTGCGACCAAAAATTAGTATTTTCAGGTTTTTCAAACCGCTGCAGTTTGAACGCAACCAAAAGAAAGTTAAACATGACCAGTGCGACCAAGAAAAAGAAGAAAAGTTAATTGCGACCGGCGCGACCAAGGTTTGTGATTTATCTTAAGACCGACACGACCATAAATTGGCTTGTTTCGACCGTCTCGACCCAAGCTTGTTATGTTTTGACCGTCTCGACCAGAGTTTCAACTATGTGTACCGAGAAAACAGTTTTCAACGCAGTTGGACCAAAAAAAAACATTTCAACTCAGATGAATTGAGGAGTATTTTTGACCGACAAAAAACAATACGATTGTGTTTGACCGAGAAAAAACGTTTCACTTGTGTTTCGCCGGGAAAGCGTATCGACTGATTTCGGCAGAAAAAGTTGTCTGCCGAAAAAACCAACCTAGATTAAATGTTCCGAATATCGCGACTACCATTTCTTTCATGACGTGACTAACTTTGCATCCATGTCTTGACAAAATTTTCGATAATGTCGCGACAAATTTTTGACCATGTCGCGATCTGTACTTCGAGACGAAGTTTTTTTTACTATGCCGCAACTAATTGATCAACCATTTTGCAAACTATACTTCGCGAAGAACTTTTCAACCATATCGTGATCAATTTTTCGACCATGTCGCGACTGATTTCTAAACCATGTGTCGACTCATTTGTAGACCACGTCGCGACCTAAGTAAAAACTTTGTTGCGAGTATTTTTTAAACTATATTTTGACAAACTTTCAAACCAAACCAGAAATGTTTCCCTTTTTTACTGCGTGAAAAGAACCGCTCGAACGAGGTAGAATGAAACTTGCAATATATAAAAATGATAAAGTAGAGAGTAGAAAATGTAGTCTAAATGCGTCCTATTTTCAGAATATCGCTATTTAATTTTCGACTATGTCGCGATTATTTCCAGACCATCGCGACGAGATACGTTATTTCCAGACTTTAGCCAGGACTATAAAACGCTGTCCAGAATATGGCTTTTTGTTTGCTGAATTAATTACGGCGCGGCCGACAAAGTTGAATGAATAATCGCGGACTTCGACACGGGTTACGTAACTTAACAAACTTATGCTTTGATATTTGACGCAAGACTTGAAGTCAACTCTAGTTTTTGACTACGCGTTTAATTTTTTCCACTGTGACAACTCAGAGGCAGATTTTTATTTGTTTACAATCAAGTTCAATCTTGATCAGTTTGTCATCAAAAAATCACTGTTCACCTCTTGAATATTTAATCGAAAACAAAAATATTTTCAAGAGCAAAAAGAAAAAGAGAGCAAAAAGAGAAGTCCCCAGGACAAAATACCTCCGAATAAAACACCTGGGATATAAACCCCGCGGTCATCTTGGTCTGAACATTAAGGCACGACCTGGATCGGGGTCTGGTGCCAAAATTTTAACTGAACATATTGAAGTTTCAACTGTAGTTATTATATGCATCAATAACTGACTTTTCTGCTGTTTATTTTTTCATTGATTCATTTTTAAACAAATCGCACGCATCGCCTTTTTGACATGGGCTTGTGAGTTTTCGCAATTCAATTTTCATTTGACATTCTAAGTCATAGCTGTTAGCTTGATCAAGAAAATTCATGTGATCAATTAGCGTCGGGTACTGTATAGCGTTCAACAATTTTCGCAATACTCCACAGATAATCAAAATGTTATTGTTCTGACTTTTGAAGAAAGCGCCGAGTATTTAGGCTTGGGGTGTATTTTTTATTCAGCCAAGTTTCGACTTGCTACCTCGGCATTTTGGACGGATTTTTTTTTGGTCGTACTAGGGATGCAAGAAAGTAGCGTATGGGATACAAATTAATAAAAGTTTCATTGTTTTTGTTTATTCGGTTTTTTCTAAATAATTTTTTTTTATTGGCAATAATGTGCAATCAGAGTATTCAAGACTTCTTCCTGATATACGAGCAGTCTTGTTGATATTTTTTGTTGCATTTATTGCAACGCATCTGATTGGATTTTTGTTGAAGTATTCTCGAACTTAAAAAATGACCCGTCTTCATTTTATTGTTACTACCTCATTTTGTAGAGCCATTCTGTAAAATTTTTTGCATAGTTTGAGTTTGTTGAAACTGTTCAAGTGTTGAGATACTCATAAGTGAAAAAAACTGGTCGTATATCAGATCAAATCCTTCAACGTTCCGACTGCCCCTAAACCAATATCGAATAATTTTTGGGGGAAAAATATTAATAAGCTTAAAATTTTGAACAATATCAAAGGTTAAGTGTAAAAAATTGAGTCGTACGAAATTAACACGACCATTTACCTAGCCTCAATTCAATTTGGAACGATTTTGTTGAGCGGGCTAGTTCGAAACGCATAAACAACTCGCGCTATATTTTCAGCATTATGAATGAAACCTTCACTTAACGAATAAATTAGTCCACATCATAGCCAAATTGAAACTTTTCAAGCTCCTAGAACTTTGCAAGAACTGATCCGAAGAAAAAAAAATTCTACATTTGATTTCCAAGTGCCGGTATCTTCAATGGAGAAATTTTTTTTTTAGTAATATTGCGATCACCAAAAATTGACTGAATAAAAAACACCCCAAACAAAAACAAATCAGGCGTATTGAAGTGCAGTATCAAGTTAGGTGACTTTTTGATGCTTGCTGCGAAAGATCACATCATTGCTTCAAACATCAGTGAAACAAAAGATGAGTAAAATATGCCTCGAAAACACCCAGTTCTCTGGATTTTATAATGTAGCTTGTTTAAATTTTTTCCTCTGCCAGACACAAACGAGAAAACTACAGAGTGTCCCAAAAACTATGAGACTTTTAAAAAGGCTGTCATTTTAGACTGAAATGCGGTATGAGTCTGATTTTTTGCATTGTGATAATGAGTAGCGAAATTTTGAGAATCCGTGAAAAAAGCAGTTTAGAGAAACACAAAAAATGTTTTGCGCCGTTTTCTTGATTTTTAATCATGCTTCATTGAATTTTCACGCCAGTTTCTTCAATCTCGTTCATTTTATCCAAGAAATGAAAGTCAGTGAAGAGCAGCGCAAATTGATTATCCTCCAGTTTGCAAAAGGATTGTCAGCAATTGCTGTCGAGCGAAAATTTCTTGAAAATTATGCCATTTGTGTAAGGCAAAGAAGCAAGTTCATTTCGACAGATTTTCAACGTGAATGGCAAAGATTTTTGGGACAGGTTACGAACAGAGGAGGTCGACTAAAAATTCGAAATAACAATTATCCGAGAGTTGCGACACTCTATGAAAACAACCCCAAATCAAGCATACGAGCGTCATCAAGGGCACTTGATATCCCTCAACCAGTATATGGCGGTCTTTGAGGCGAGACTTAAAGTTTGTTCCATTCAAAGTCAATCAACTGCATAAATTATCAGAAAAAAAATTACGAAATGCGAGAAATATTTTGCCTGTGGTTTTTATCTCAGGATCGAAACTTTCACTCGAAGGTTCTCTAGAGTGACGAAAAATGGTGGGTTTTGGACTCAGTGTCCAACAACCAAAACGTTTGGGCACGTTACAACCCTCGTGATTTCGAAGAAATTCGAAATCAGGGCAAAAGCAAAATATTGTGCTGGGTTGGACTTCTTCAAGGCAAAATCATAGGCCTTTTCTGGTTCAGAGATGAGAATGGAAGACCAATAACGGTCAACCAAGTTGTTTATCTCAACATGCTCATGAACCAAGTATGCCCCCTTGTGGAACACCGGCGTGATATTAGGAAACTTTGATTCCAACAAGACGGCGCATCATGCCAGACAACCCCTGCAGTATTACAATTTCTACAGATTGTTTTTGGTGGCCGCAGTATCAGTTGTCATTCCCAAAATCCTTGGCCCGCTCAAAGCCCAGACTTTAATCCCCTGGAAAACTGGTTCTGGGGTTATGGTTGTGCTGCATTTCATCGCAAAAACCCCAGGACCACTGCCGAACTGATCACAAGCGTTGAAGATTTTTATCGTTGGATCACACCGGATTAGATTTTCAGCTGCTACAGCCTCAATTCACAAGCGAATGATCAAATGTCAAGAAAATGGCGGTAAAATTATTCAACATCTCTTGAAATGAATAAGTTTTACTTCATATAAAATTTCCACATCTCGTCTAAAACGTGTTGAATTTTCATGTGTTCACGTCAATTCAGTCGAAAATGACAGCCTTTTCAAAAGTCTTATAGGCTTTGGAGCACCCTGTATATAAGACTTTTGCTTACAAAACTAAAATTTTCAAATTACTTATTCCGACTGCTGAAAATGAGGAGAAACTCTGTCTTTGTTCGTTTTTTTTTGTTTTTACATAATTTTTTGCCACAAAATTTAGGTGTCACAAGTAAACGTCACCCAGGATCGACTTACATTTCAAGTCCAATTTATATCAAGTCCAATTTACAGCGAGTAAAGCAAGTGAATAATTAGAGCAAAAATAGATTTATCAAATTGAGAAAGATGATAAACCACTTAGCTTTTTCTCAGAACGTAAAAGTTAAGAAATCTAAGAAAACGAGAAGTTCTTTTAAAAACATCAAACGTGAAACATTTGAAATGTGTTTTACTCTTATTTTTGGGTTTATTAAAGATTTATGAACAGAAACCAACAGAAGCAAAAAGAAACCAACAGAAATGTTAACAGAAGTTTTTGAACAGAAATTTCATCAGATATAAATACTAATGTAGCTAAGTTTAATGTTCTCTCCTTTATTCAAATTTTTACTTGTCATGGAACCGTCTGCACTTGTGCGCAGTTTTTGTGGTTTGTTTGAAATCAGGAATCAAATGCTAGTTAATTTCTTTGATTTGCGTTCGCCAAGCCGGTTTGCCATCTAGAGAAGGTTTGCCATCTTGAGTAGTTGAGAATGTTCGGCATTTGAGTATTTTCCTTTTTTTTTAAATATTTTTGCTCCACTTCATGTTTGATCCGCTTGATGATATAGATACTTGTCATGAAGAAACAATTGGTTTTCAGTTCCCGCTGTCAACCCCGCGCATTGTGCACTGCTCAGCTGGTGCTGGAAGGACTGGTTGCTACATTGTGTTGTCTCGGGTACTGGACCAGCTGGAAAGGAAGGCCACCCAGATGGACATCAAACGACTCGTAGGCGAGCTCAGGTAACATTAAAACACAAAGTGACGCATCAGTGCACGGGCAAATTTATAGTGAAGACATTTCGGGTACAGGAGCTTTGAAAAAAAACTTGAAAACTCGTCAGTTGTGGATCTAGGTTTGTTTTGAGAAAGGAAAGGGATCGAATGGGGAGTGGCGTTAAAAAATTCAAAACGTCAAATGTGCAATATTTGTCGAAAACGGTTTATTTTTTGTAAATCAAATCCCTTTTCCGAGCTCTCTTAAAACATTAAAAACCCTATTTAGCCAAAAATTTCTGCAAAGCTGTCACGGAATAAAGTTCTTTTGAAGTTAAATGTAATGCGTGAAGTCGTGGGTTCCCGTTGTTAACTTGAAGTCATCCTTTTTAATTTATCTTTCAGCTTTGCTTAGTCAATTCTTCTGTTCTTATCCTTCAACATATTAACATTTTTACTTATTGCCTGTATTGTAGATACAACAGAATGGAAATGGTTCAGACTTCGTCCCAGTACAAATTTATCCACGATATGACGGCATTCCTCATCAACAAGATGAACTGAAGTTACATCATAGTTACGTCATCGTTTCGTCTTGTGCCAAAAGGAATCGTTACAAAGAAGAAACATTGCCAGTTGGACCAAAACGTTCATCGCTCTTTGAGCAAACCCGTAGTTCGTTCATTGCCTTCCTGATGAAGTGACGTTTCGCCATTATTACGCGGTGTGCCTAGTTAATCTTTGCCGGCAAAAAGTTAACCAGTTCAACAAAAAAAACGTTCATGATCTTTTTTGACAAAATCATCTTTCGTTTCATTTCGTTAACTCTCTCACCATTCTTTTATCAAGTTTAAAAAAATCAATTTTACAAAGTAACCAATTTTTCTACAACGATATTCATGAGTTTAAAATTTTTATCAAAGGAGACATAAGTGTGAGTTTGAGTACAAAATAGTTTATTTAGAACAATTTGGCGACAGAAATAATCGGTTCCGATGAAACGTTTTACACTTCATTGAAGAAATCGATATTCTGAGGTCAAATGAACAAAAAAGAGGTCAAAAGTATTTAAAAGTTTTAATTTTCTGCCATTAGTGTGGTTGAGTTATAGGGGATGAAAAATTGCCAGTTGGCCAAGTTTTGGACTGTCTTATGCTCACTTTCTAAAAACTAATTATGATGAAGAGAGCGTGAGCACAGATAAATTGAGTGTTACAAACAAAATGCTAAGTTTTGAAGCTTGAAGCAAAATGAAACATTTTTTCAGGTATGCTTTCAAAGCTTGTAAAATTGGACTTAACAAACGCCTGTTGTTATCGCGGTCTACCGGAATAAATGAATAACAAATAGGGACAAATTTTTGGAACCGTTGTTCGGTCAAATGGTGTTCTTGGGGGAAAAAGTTAACATTCTTTCCCCCAGAAAATCTTTCGACCTATCAACAGTTTCAAAACTATCAACAGTTTCGACGTTTCAACAGATTCGACTTATCAGCAGTTTCAACAGTTTCTTTTTTTCAATTTTAGTGGTTTGTAACGGTTGTAGTTGCATAAGAATCTAAAAGATACCCCCTAGTTCTCGGAGAATGTGGTGCCAATAATTATGTTCCTCAAAAAAAAGTTTTTCAAAACAAAACCAACACTAAGTTTTTAAATAGTAATTTGTTTTTTCAAACAGTTGATGCAAAAAAAATTTGATTTTCAAATATTTTTCGCGCATTTAAAACATCCGACCAGCGAGTCGCAGTTTTCTTTTTGCTTTTTTGTTTCTGTTGCAAAAAGTTCAGTTTTCTAATATCAAGCAATATTTTTAAATAATTCGTTCATTTTTCCTAAGAATGCAATGATTTTCTATGCTTCGATGTTTTTTTGGTTTGTAGATGTTTAAGAATGAAGTTTTTCTAAGCAATTTTAGATCATATTGAACGCCTTTCCGCCTTTGCATTATTATCAGAAAATTTTTGATGCTTTTTTTGTATAAGATAAGGGTTTTTTATTCCAAAAAAAAAACAAAGAAAAATCAGGCAAGTATATTGATAATTGCACGACAGGTCAAAATTGAGAGACATGAAAACCAAGACATAAACATTATCGAGACATAAAATGAGGTGGCTAAAAACATTAAAAAGGTCTATTTGTGGGGGCTTGGTTTTTACGATGTAGGTTAAGCACAGCAGGGCGTAAGCATGGAGTAAAATTGGGGTCACGCCAACCCGTTTCAGACCAGCTGAAAGGCTTGCTTTTCTCAAGTAGCCTGGCATGAGTTTTTTAAAAACAAAAAACCAGATGCGGAGCAGAATTTTTTCAATGAAGAGCGGTTTTTGAAAAAAAAAGTAAAGCGTTGAACAAAACTTGTGATAGATTCGAACTACTTTACTTCACGTATATAAAACCCATCTATTAACACAAATAGCATCTCAGTTTAGGGAAAACTTTTTTGTGCATACAAAATAATCTCATTGTTTGGTTGTCGATTCAGCTGTACTTTAATTTTAAAAATTTCCTGGTATAACTTGGCTCTTCTATAAAGATTTTTCAAATACGTATCATTTTGGGTTTCTTAGCAGGCTAAGTTCGATTTCTGTTAGAGGTCTACTCACTCATTGTTCCGACTTTCGATACAAAAGTAACGAAATATTTGTGCTCGGGGTGGGTTTTTATTCTTCAGACAAATTTTGACTTTTTAACTAGCCATTTTTAATTTCACCTGTAATCATTTTTTGTAAGGTTTTGTTGGTTTAAAGATGGCCCTTTTGGCCAATTTGGGACAATTAACGCGCGATATATTTCGCGCTATTAACGTATAGGCGGAGATTTAATCCGTCTTAAAAATCGTTCCAAATTGGTTGAAAGAAGCTTATTTGCCTTAATTGATTTGTTACAAAGAGCGAAATCTATTCTTTTGTACTTCATATGGCGTGTGGGGGGATGATTTCACAAAAAAAAATCAAATTCTAGAAAAAAAAATTTTTCATTTTATTTTATTACATTTAATTTTATAATGTTATTAGTGCTCCATAAACCTGAAAAGGCAGTCGGAACATTCAGGGCTTCGCCCTGATACGAGCAGTCTTGTTTGATCTTTATCCTCAGATATAGTCTACGCTTATGTTTCTTAAAACGTTGAAAAAATATCTAGCCCCTTGTGTCTCAGGCATTCATTAATTCGACTTTTTTCACTCCTATTTTGACTGACACATTTAAGATGAAAACTTTATGCTGGCAAAGCCAAAATACGTGAAAACGATGTTGGTAAAAACCTAAAAAACGGTGCAAACTTTGCCCTGATACAAATATCTTTGCAACTGTAGAATTGATTATGCATGTACGGCTTTACCTAATAATGATAGTAATTTGAGTTCATGCGTCTTTGAAAAAGCAGCATAGCTTAGGGTCAACTATTTTTTAAATATTTTTCCTGTAAGATCATCTATATATGACATAGTAGATGAAATCTTTTTTTAGTCAGCTTCAGCTCTCGGTAAACTATGAGTTAAGAGAGCTGAGTTTACTTATTTGGCGAAATTGAAACTGTTTAAAAACAAATACAAAGACAATTTTTTCCCATTTTGAAACTCCTGAGATTCATAGGACTCACAAACTTTCGTGCTTTTTAAATTGCCGAAAATTTCTATGATTTGAGTTCTTTAAAACTGGATGAACACGTATTTATCTCGGTTTTAGAGAGTGTACTTTGCTTTCCATTTATCAAATGAATTTGAAATGACCGTTTAAAGATATAAAAACTCAAATGGATGTTAATTTGATCCCATCATTCTACAAAATTTATGATTGGTATACCAAAATTCAGAATAACAAGACTGCTTGTATCAGAGCGAAGCCCTGAAGGTTCCGACTGCCTTTTAAGGTCTATGGAGCAGTAAAAACATGCAAATTAAATGTAATAAAATAAACAGTTTGAGAATTTTGAAAATCATCCCCCACACGCCATATAAAATACAAACAAGCGATAGATTTCGCCCCTAGGAACAAATCATTTGTGACAAATAAGCTTCCTTCAACCAATTTGGAACGATTTCTAAGACGGATAAAATCTCCTGGTGAAATATCTTTTCATATTCAAGCTCAGGACAACAGTAACTTTGATTGATATCAAAAAAATTCCGTCAATAATGGCTAGTCAAAAAGTGTAAATTTGTCTGAAGAAAAAAAAACCTACCCGAGCACAAGAATTCCGTTACTTTTCTTACAAAAATCGAACAATAATCAGCTACAAACTGAGAAATTTTATTGATGTTATGAATTAATTCGTCTTTTTCTTACTGATTGTTTGTCTTTTGTTCTCTTCCCGAAAAATCTCAAAAAGTAGTTCCACCAAACCTTGTAATTAATTAACCAATAGTATTAGAAAAATTGAGTGAATGTAATTCATTTAATTTTTGCCACACTGCCTTGATTTGGGTAAAATTATTGAATTTTTAACCCCCAAAAACAAGGTTTCAGCTTTTTTTGGGAGAAAAGGAAAAAAGCTGAGTTGAAATAAAATTGAGTTTTTGCATTGAGTTTTAAAAACAGCTAAAAATAACATAAGTTCAAATAAAAAAAAACAAAACAAGGTGACTGCAGGGACAGTAACTTTTATTTTGCAGTAACTAAAAGGAAACAAGCGAGTGGAAGCAAAAAAAATAAAACAAATTTGCAATTTTGGCAAGCAGACATATCATCACAAAGAGAAGTAAAAGTTACGAAGCTCAATTGAGAGATTTTTTAAAATTAAAAAATTCGTAATTTTTTTTAGAACTATTGTACAAAAATCAGACAAAGTTTGGAGGCTCCATGGGAAGCGCCTTCTTATAATTAGATATTTCTGAAAATTTTTCAAAATCATTGAACAAAAAAATTAGATACAAATTTTTTAAAAAAATTTTGCAAAATTGTGCTATTTTTTGTTTTTTATTACACTTGCGAGAGCGATTGTCTTGTAATCAGTAACTAGACATTTTTTCCCAGAAAACAAATTTTCCTACAAATCTTACTTTCTTTTCTTATTAGCTTTTTACTAAACCCTAAGAGCTTCCAGGTTCATTCCCTTTTGGCCAAAAGGTAACGCAATTGCCTTTGTACCATTAGGTATTGGGTTCGGCCGGACTAAGTATGAAATATAAACTTATTTGCGGGAAAATTGAATTGTCGGACATTCGTTTGTCGACATCAGGGAATTTTCTTGTGCTCTCAGTATATTTCATCGTAGATGCACGTGTTTTTGAGATTTTTCCAGTAATTTATAAACTTAGTAGCCCTGACGATGTTTTTTCGCTTGTTTTTTCATTTTTTTTCGCTGGTTTTTTCTTTTTGTTTCCCTTAAAATTTTCGGATAATGTTGCGAATAATGTTTATCGGCGTAGTTATCTGTGTCCTTTAGTTGTATTTTGTGTGTTTTACTTTATTTTGGGTCATTTAGTTGCCTTATTCTTACGGCCAAGGGCAGGTTTAGAATTTGTTCGAGGGGGCGGATTTTAGAAAAAAATTTTAAAAAATGTGTCAATTTTTTTCAGTTCTACCGAATTGATTTTCCGAGCGTCCCCAGAACAATACAAAGACCCTATTCAGACAAAAAAAAATGCGCCGCAGGCAAAATTTTGATAAAACGGGTCAAAAATGCCTTTTTTCGGTGCACCCCTCATTTCAAAGTTATTATATATTGGCCCGAAAGGCACATTCAGAAAAATTTTAGGATTTGGTGGGACGAAAGTGGATGTCATAAAATAATACCGAAGTAGGACCCTTGGGTTGTTGAGGGAGTCGAATCCGTGAAGAGGGGGGTCTTC